GGACAACAAGGAATCAACAACTGCAGTAGTGTGGTGACTCCATTCCTTGCAATGGAGGTCAAATATGGTGAGCCAGCGCTTGGATTTGACCATACCATCCCAACTGCGATCGTGTGTCGGGCGGGGCCTGCAGCTGTGGCCGAGGGATGGCACGAGGACGGCGTAGGTGACTACGGCCCTCGTGGCACACGGTGGTAGTGGCGAGGAGGTCACGCGTGGTGCGTGCACAACGACGGCGTGGGCAGCAACGGATGGCGACATGGAGGCCGCACGTGTGCAACGACAGAGCCGCAGAGGGGAGATGTCGCGACGACTTTTGGTCGCTCGTGGGCTGCGGTGGTGGAGGTGGCACCTCGGTGGTACGGAGGATGTTTGACGCCGGCACGATGGTGCGGAGGTTGCGAGCGTTGCGAAGTGGTGCTGGCACAACAATGATGATGGTGTGGCTACTCTTACATGGCGTGGTGGCATGCACACGTGGAAGTTGCGTGGTGGCACAGCGGGGTCCTTCATGTGGCAGACTGGCAGTGGTGGCGAAACATTGATAGTGGCCAAGAGGCTGGAGGACCAGTCGTAGACTCGAGCTGCAAGTGTCATAGGTGGTGGAAGACAGCCAAGGTCATAGGCGTAGTAGGGCTTGGCGTCTGTGTGGTTGTTGTTTGGGCGACGAGTGTCCACAAAGTTGGCGAGGAAGGAGGTGGGCCAGCAGAAGTGCTTTGACATGGTGTCTGGCGTGGTGTCTGATGGCAGCTAGAGGCCATACTTGATATTCTACTGTTTTGATGAGGTGGCCTGGTTGGTAGGAGCTGCAATGTGAGCCGATCTTGGTGGTGGCTGTCGGCTTGGCCAACCAGAGGTAGTTGCTCGTGTATCTGCAAAATTCTGCCACTTAAACTTTATGATATTCTAAAAAGATTGGATAGCAAAGATTTCTCGTTTTATCTCCTTTCTATGAAAGGGATAAAGCCATAATAATTTATAAGCACTAGAAAGTTTTACTTTAGTTCGATTTAGAATAGCACGCTTAGTTTCTTTTTCAAAAATAAATAATTTGAAGGGTCTTTTTTGTTTCGTAGTAGTAGAATTGCTAGAAAATAAAGGATTTCGTTGTAGAATCCAAAAATAAAGATAAAGTACTTTATTTTTTAAATACTTGCCAATCTAGTTATCCACCTATCTACATATAGCTTGTAGTGGACCGCTGTGGCTACCCTTGCATGGCAAGGGTTGGTCTGGTGTGGGGCGGCGTGGATAGACGGCGAAATGGAGGCGACGGCGAGACGACTACATGGTTTGCAGGGGGCATGACGGTTAGCCTTGCATGGCATCGGTTGGCTCGGTGTGAGACTTCATCGACAACTATGGCGTAGGCGGTGACGACGGTGTGTCGACTTGCTGACTTGCTACATTGACGTCCAATGGATGTTCCTGCATGGGGCTTCCGAGAGTAAGCTGCTTGTGGAGCGTTTGTTTTTGTTCGTGTGGAGTAGTCAATGATTGTGGAGCGTTTATCTTTGCTCGTGTAGAGTAGTCAATGCGTTGGTGTTTTGCGGCACATGTTGAGGTTCTAGTCCAACAGACTGTTGTCGTCGATATTTAAGATAGTTGTGCTCAATTGTTAGTGCAGATGTGTTGTCTTTAGTTGCTGTTGTTTTATACCACCCTTTAGAGTCATCGTTGCTATGGTGTTTACCTAGTTTGGGTTCTTTTTCTGTTTGCTTGAACTTATCAGCCTGGCTTATTAGCAATGAAACAATATTTTTTTCTCACAATAAATCAGCTTTAGCCGGCTTATCAGCCGCAAAAACCATCAGCCAAACAACTAGAATATAATCGGCCAAAGAGCTAATTGGTTCTTTAAAAAAAGAGAATAATATTCTAACTTCACAAAAAAAAGTACAGTTTTTTTGTTCAATCCAGGTGCAAGTTCGAGTTGTTGAACCGAACCGGGACAAGTTGGAGAACTCAATAACATACCTTTCGTTTGCACAGTGAGATGTTGTTGGAACCGAACACGGGCAAATTGGAGAACTCATTAAGAGCATCTCCAACAGATGAGATAAAACTAGTTGCTAAATCTTATAGTTTAGCCATCTTATAAAATACAAAATTTGTCAAAAAAGAAGAGTTCCACGAGAGACTGGCTATTTCTCATATGCTATATTGAAAAGATGCCACGTCACGTAACTACCGGCTGATTCCCATCGGCTCGGAGGCTCGGACCTGTTCCTCGCGCGTGAATAGGAAGCACGGACTCATCCCGCGGCGGCGTCCTGGCAGCTCTGCGGCTTCGCATCAATAGGGCTAGGAGACTCCGATCCCTGTGCGTCCTGGCGGCGACGTCACCTACGCGTCCCGCCCAGGTTCCGGCTTCCGATCCACCACCAGGAGGCTCATCTTGCCGGCGACGGGCTGCTGCTACCGTGTAAGTTTTCTGACTTATCATCACGTATGTTCATCTTTAGGTCACGTATCAATGAGCATATTGAGACTGCAATAATTTATAGGGAATAATTACCGGGCATCTTAATTTTTTAATCATCGTGTAGGTGTTCGATCAACCTAATCAAAGGTCCATAATGGAGTTTGAAGATGTAGTTAATGAGCTGACGGATTCGTCGTCGTCGTCGGATGACGACGATGAGGTATATACTGCGGCAGTGCATGTAGTAGTATCGGACATTGTCAATCCAGCATGCCATCGTGGTTAGGTAGAGGGATATCGTGTTTTGAATCATGATAGACAGTCGGGACACTGCAGACTGTATGAAGATTATTTCTCAGATAATCCTACATATGGACCGAGCTATTTCAGACGCAGATTAATTTTCTCATATTTTATTGACTTATGTTTAGTGTATGCATTGAGGTCTGAATAAATTTTTTTATCTGACGACACAGGTTTCGAATGCGGCGTCACGTGTTTGTACGCATAATGAATGTCATTGAGGAGTATGACGACTATTTCGTGCAGAAGAGGAATGCAGTCGGAACCCTAGAACTATCTTGTTTGTAGAAGGTGGTGGCAGCATTCTGGATGTTAGCTTATGGAGTAGTAGCTGATGCTATGGATGACTACATCCATATTGGGGAGAGTACTGCACTAGAAAGTCTTAGAAAGTTTGTCAGAGTTGTTGTTCACGTATTTGGACATGAATACTTGAGGTTGCCCAATGAAGATGATACCGCCGGATTACTTGCGATTGGTGAGAGTAGACGTTTTCTTGACATGCTTGGTTCCATTGATTGTATGCATTGGACCTGGAAGAATTGTCCGGTTGCATGGCAAGGTATGTATAGGGGACATAAAAAAAAGCCTACAATTATTCTAGAAGCTATTGCTTCTAAAGATCTTTGGATTTGACATGCATTCTTTGGGATGCCAGGTTCGCATAATGATATAAATGTTCTTTAAGGATCTCGTATATTTGCAAGGCTTGTTGAAGGTCAAGGGCCACAGGTAAATTATAGCATCAATGGGAATGATTATACTATGGGTTATTATCTACCAGATGGTATATATCCATCTTGGGCCACATTCGTGAAAAACCATACCCGAGCCATAGGGTAATCAGAACAAATATTTTGCAAAAGGACAAGAAGCTTGTGGGAAGGATGTCGAACGAGCATTTGGGGTTCTACAAGCTCGCTTTGCCATTGTTCGAGTGCCGGCATGTGTGTGGGATGAGGATACAATTCAACTTGTCATGACGACTTGTATCATTATGCACAATATGATTGTTGAAGACGAGGGAGTTGACGAAAAAGATTTCAAATATGATGATGTGGGAGAAAAGGTGACTGTATCACACGATGATACACCTAAGTTCGATGCATTTATGCAGAATTACAAGAAGATCAAGGACAAGGAGACACACACAGCTTCAAGTCGACCTTATCGAGCACTTGTGGCATAATTTTCCAGATTTATATACAAATAGTATTGTTGAATAATTTCATTTACTATCACAACATCAAGGCATTCTGTATTAGTTTCCAGACCTATCTTCTTTGTTTGATTTATTAGATACTGTAATAAATATGTGTTTAGGTGAGGATGCCCTGCAATTTTATTTGATCTGTCTTTTAATAGTTCAAAGCATTGATACAATGGTCGGCATTGATACTACCCCTATCAGTATGTACAGATACATTGTTCATGCATTAACATATATATGTGATGGTGCAAACGCCAAAAGCAGCTCCTTTACAGAATAATATAGATAATAAGGTTCATGCAAGAACATTAATCAATCCGATATGCTGTGAACTAGAGGCAACTAAAATGTTTCAGAAAATTAGATATGTCTCACACTATGCCCAAATCTAAAAAATGAAGATCATGGTACTACTAATTTCCAAGCCGTCTTGCAAGTATTTTCTTGTGTTGATCATCGTAGAACTGTTACTGTCTGGTTGACATAGTGCTCATATCAACATTGATAATTCTTTCTTCTTCTCGATCCCGCTCGAAATCAAATTTATATTTGTCAAGTTTTATCCTTTCTTCCTGCAAAGCAAGGGCTTTTTGGAGCATCTCATGTTTCTTCAACTCCCTCTCTTCTTTCTTCATCTCCTTCTCAGCATCCACCTCTTTCTTCTTTGCCAATAAATAATCCAAAGCTTCAATGCTGAAACGCTGCTTTAATTTCTGTTTTTTCTTCTTAGTCTCAGTAGGCCTGTCCACTGTGGTTATTGTAGTATGTGTGCCCTCTACAGTACCAGTGACATGTTTTGCTGCATCAGTAGCAGGAGTTGAACTGGCAGTGGTCTTTTGTTTTCTGTTGAATGGTTTCTGAGCTTCAATTTGGTGGCGCCTATGTGTACACTTTGAATGGTTTTTGAGAATTTTCCAGCAATGTATGTACTGGAAAGTCCTATGAAATGGGTTGTCATTCTTATACATAGTTAATGCATTTGCTTGCTGCAATGGAAAACAAAGATGACACATGAGATTCAGCAAAATTATAAGAAATTGGCATGTCAAGAGGTCATCTAACCTTGTCATCGACAGATACACCACTCTGATTTCTGGCCTCTACCTTTGAAACACAACTAGCAAATATGTTGCAAGCATGTTGTATACCATACCACCGACTCATTAGAGAGCTTTGTGTGCGATCGGAATAAACATCCTTGTGTGCGTGGAAGTAATCGTGTATTCTTTTTCAATAAGTATTTTTTGATTGATTGACTCCTCGCACAGGATTCAAACTCATATTTAGCCATGCTGACACCAACATCTCGTCCTCTTTAACAGTGAAATTTTTGGACCTTTTCTGAATTCCTTTCACCGCAGCAGCGACCTCATCGCGTGCTTGTACATCATTACGAAGTGGGATATTGGTGGACACTGTAGCTGGAGTGAAGCCCTCTATAATTATGTCGGTCAAAGATCTCCCTAAATCCATTTGGGCTGTATGAACAGAACACAAGTAACATGTAAGATGATGAACTGAACATGTTATCAGCATATTGTCAAGTACAAGCAAAAAGACACGGAGTTTTCTCAAATTATACAAAAAGGACAAGACAAGAACTGCAACTTAAATATGAAAGATTGTCAGGCATTAAACAATATGAAAATTTTCTTTCAACCAAAAACCATGTTTGACACACCTTTGCAGTTGGCTGCATATTTTCTGAATCCATACTACAGTTATAATGATCCTACTATCTTCGCAAGTGAGCTAGTCATGGATGGGTTGATGTCAGCTGTTGAAACATTTTACCATGGTGATTATGACAAGCAAAATCAAGTAGTAAATGAGGAGTTGATCAAGTTTAAGGATCAAGTAGGACATTTTGCAAAACTAGTAGCAAAGGCTGGATGAAAGGATTTTGATTTTAACCCAGGTAATGACTCTTTATTTTAGTTGTATTTTTTTAGTGATTACAGGTGCAGCCTGCAGCCATAGTTTTCCTACAAAGTATACATATCTAAATTTATATAATATCTTGTGCTCTCTTCTGCTTTAATTCAGATTTGCATACACAAAAAAAACTGAAATGTATGCTTCAGTTCAGTTTTACTATCTTGTGTTGATTTAATATGAATTTTTATACAGCAAAATGGTGGGGTAATTATGAAACACAAGTTCCAGCATTACAGCTTCTAGGATAACATTGAAAATAAGTGAAACTCATCAATGATACAGGCAACTAAAATGTTTGATCTTAGTTGGTAGCCTTGCTGCTTTCAACTAAACTACCCTTTTCTACATCCATTTGTGAAGATCTATTATAATGAAGTGCACAAAATTGAGTGCCTATGACTGAACTTTGTTTGGTGCGAGGTGTTCAGACTTCAGCTTAAGCTATTACTGATGATGAATGGCTTTCAACCTCAAAACTGAAGGTCTGTAACAGCTAGTACATCCATGTTTCAGATATCAAAGAGTAAATGGCTTTACTGCAGTAAGTGGGGGCTCCTTGACGCCACTACGATTTCCACAGTAGCGATGGAAAATTGGGGAAAGAACAATGGATCTTGGGCACATGGTGCCAAGGGTGCCAACCACTGGTTGGTCAAATCTGCAATCCTCTACCACACACACAAAAGAAAAAAAAGAAAAACTGCTGCAGCATCTGAGAGATACCTAGTGAAAATTAGACTCACCGGAGCACACGTCGAGGAAAGGGTTCGATGCAGCAGCGGCGGCACTGTTGGGTGGAAGGACTCGTCGTCGCTGGCCTCCTTGCGCCACATTTTCCAACCAAGGCAGCACCGGTGAGTCCTGCTGCTTCCATCCGCTTGATTCCTAGCTAATAGGGAGCGAATATAGGGCGGCGCAGTTGGGGTCTCCCTGGCGCTCGGACGGCGGAGTTTGTCCATGAGGAAAGTGCGACATCGGAGGGCCGGCGCTCCGGTGGTGCGGCTACGGCGGCAGGGGCGGGGGAGGGGAGGAGGCGATGGACGACCGAAGTTACGAAACGCCGAATCGAGCGAAGCGCGCTAGGGAATTGCGAATCGAGCCGCGGTTGGGCCTGGGATCCCCACGACGGGAAAGTTCATCGTGCGCGCGGGAAGGAAATTGCTGCGCGCAGAAAGGATTGCGCGCGCGCAGGCAAGGACCGTGGCCACCGATTTTGGCATATGGCGAGCGGCGTTGGCTTGCTTTCTATATCTAGCGAAATTTCAGGGATAGCTCACTTGCCATTTTAGAAAACTAGATAGCAAGTCTGTTGGAGCTCCATTTTTGCTGTAAAAATCTAAATATAGCCTAGCCAACAAAGATAGCACATCTGTTGGAGTTGCTCTAATATCCCTTTCGTTTGCATGCGCAAGTTGGAGAACTCATTAACATCCTTTCATTTGCATCATGGCATGCAGACAATCATAACACATTTACATGCCATCAAAGGAGACTTTCAATTCAAGGCATCCCACATCTGTACCAACGACAACGAAGCGAGGTCGTAAGACACAAAGGGATTGATCGACGGACACGAATCTCAAGGTTGTTGCTTATTTGTAAGTCGCATCTGTGCTATAATATGGTACAAACCAAACACGCTCAGTTCTTGTGCTGCATTCGACCGCTCTCTGCACCGGCATAAGGATCAATGATAACATTAATCACTGCTGGTTTCCTGGCACGGAACGATTCTGAAAGGGCAGATTTGAGCTCGTCTGGTGTCTCCACAAGATAACCTTTCCCTCCGAAAGCTTCCATCATTTTATGGTAGCCTGCTGCCGGAACGAAAGAAGTTGGGGCAGGGTCATCTTTGTAGGGTCCGGTTATCTCATCAGGGCTTCTCCGGTCACCGCCGTAGACACCGTTGTTGTTGAAAACAATTACAACGACAAGCAGCTGGTACCTCACCAACGTCTGTAAAGTGTAAGGCACAAAAGAAAATAATTAGGTATCTCTGTCTGGTACAATGTGGCCAAATGAAATGATAAACATATGGTACAGCCAGCTTAGGGAAAGATAGTTTAAGGGACCCAGTTACTAGAAAATCAAGGAAAATAAAAACAGATCATGTAATCCAAGTTGATAGGGAAACAACTAGAAGTTGCAAGAAATAAAAATGGCACAGAAACAATGAAGCAAAAATTAACTAGTAAAGTTGACCAAATTAAACAGAGGATTGGTACTTCCTAGTCAATCAGGCATAGACTTTCAAACAATCTATGGAGTTTTACTACTTTTCCTATATATCAACCACAGTAAAATCCGAAATCTGGGCTAATTAGATGGCTAGTTATGGCGTAACTGTGTGCAGCTAGTCCATCAAGGTTAATTAAGCAAGCAAATGATCAGATTTAGATACAGTACTTTACACACTTCCATCATTTGTTTGATCCAAACATCTGCAGTTCGAATATCCTACTCCTACTATTTTGATTGGTAAACAACAATACACATATTGTAAAATTGAAATAGAATACTCCTGCCTCCTATTATAAGAATTGAGATTCTAACAAGTAACACCTACAATTCAGAGTTGCATCACCAATAACCCTTATAATGAGTAGAAGTATAAAATAATAAGTAAGGGTATAGACATATTCCGGTTCATTGAGCAGATAAGTTAAAAGATGCCCCAGGGCGAGGAATGGTTTTGGCTAGCATTCATCAGATCATATAGAAAAATAATGTGCAGTAATCTTAAAAAAAAACAAGGTCACCATAAAAGCAAAATGATTCCATCATTCAGTTGGCAATACAGATGGATATCTGTCACATAAAACAATGAAATTTTAGGCTCGCTGGAAAATGTATAATCTATGAGTAATGATCTCCGTTCGGCTTACTCCATATTCGGCTTGTTCGGCTTCTTTTTTCAGCGGGAACAGTGTTTTCCTCTCACAACAATTCAGCCAGAACAGTGTTTTTCAGCCAGTTTCAGCCAATTCTCCTCTGTGATTCCATATGAAATGCGCATGTTGTGAAGCACCACTGAGATTACAGGTGTATAAATACTACAAAATTAAATATTCATATATGGTGAACTGTATGGAGCTGGGAGATGTAGTATGCAAAAGCAACGAAGTATCCATATGGGCATATTTATATTGCTGAATGTACACTATAAGAATATATCCTGACGAGGCTGAACCACTAGGATAATTCAATTGCTCCTGGATCAGCCAAAACAGATGACTGGGCCCATTTGAGGACAACAATTGAACAGTAATCCATTTCTGTTGATAAAAGCATTTGCTACCTTGAATACTTGTAGTAATAGTGTGAACTAGCACAACTGCAAAAGATGACTCATACACAAGTCCTTGGGTAATTATCCAGGGATCATGCAATCTATGCACATTCATTAGATTAATTTTCTATTTGTCATGTTACTATGTGTCATATTAACATCTAGAACATGGCAGCAGCAGCAGCATGGAGTAGTTCATATAAATAGATAACGGCCTCTGCCAGTATGTTATTATTATTGACATCAACATAACATGACCATGGCCTTTTCTTCCAAACTGAAGAGTGTTAATTTCAGCTCACATCAACATGACAATAGCAAAAAAGCAGACGAAAATAACATGTTTACACAACTAATAAACCAAATAAGTACTGTGATTTAAGTAATTAGCCTTTCAAAGTGAAGCTGGAATGTTTGCATTCATACCTCAACCTCCATTGCACTGAATCCAAATGCAGAGTCGCCCTCAACAGCAACCACAAGCCTTTCGGGTTCAGCTACTGCAGCTGCAATACAGTACCCCAATCCAACGCCCATCGTCCCCCATGTCCCAGCATCCAGTCTTGTCCTTGGTTCATTCTGCACAAGCACAGCCCTGCCAACATCCATGGTGTTTGCCCCTTCTGAGACCACTACCGGAGCCGGACTCCCCTCAGCAAGGATCGCATCTCTGATTATCCGCAATGGTGTCATGAAGTTGAACGGCACAACATCCTTTGCTAGCTGCGCCTCCATCTTAAGAACATTGTCCTTGGCCTTCTTGGTGATAGCTTCAACCCATGGGTGCGACTTAGCCAAGCAGAATGGATTGTCCTTGATCTCCCGGTTGATCAGCTCAATTACTCTCTTCGCATCCCCAACAATCCCCATATGTGGCTTCCGGAGCTCAATCTCCTCCTCGGAGACGTCCACAAGGATGAACTTGACATCCTTGGACCACTTGGGTGGCTCGCCAAAGTGAAGCAACCAATTAAGCCTGGCACCGACGACCAGAGCCACATCGCACTGCCCGATGGCGAGTGAGCGTGCCGCCGTGGCGGAGAGTGGATGCGAGTCAGGCACGACCCCCTTCCCCATCGGCGTCGGGAGGAAGGGGATGCCCGTGGTGTCCACCAGCTTCCGAATCGCCTCCTCCGCGCGCGCGTACGCCGCACCCTTCCCAGACACAACCAGAGGCCGCTCCGCACGCCGGAGCAGGTCCGCAGCTTTCTCGACTCCCTCGTCTAGGGACTTGTGCTTCGACGGGGAAGGATCGGCTGCAACCGAATTGGCGGCGGCGGCTGCTATGAGAGCCGCGGCCTCGGATTCAGCGAGGGTTTGGTGGAGGACGTCGGACGGGATATCGAGGTAGCACCCGCCGGGGCGACCGGAGACGGCGGCGGCGAGGGCCTGGAAGACGAGGCGCGGGATGTCGGCGATGGTTGTGGCCTTGACGGCGAGCTTGGCGAAGGTCTTGGTGGCGGCGATCTGATCGAGCTCCTGGAAGTCGCCCCTGCCGGCGTCGGCCTGGTCGCAGGATCCGGAGACCATGAGGAGCGGCCAGGCGTTGGCGGTGGCGTGGGAGAGGCCCGCGAGGCCGTGGACGCATCCCGGGCCGGAGACGGTGAGGAGGACGCCCGGGGAGCCCGTGAGGAAGCCGTAGGCGGCGGCGGCGTACCCCGCGGACTGCTCGTTGCGGAAGGCGAGGAAGCGGACCCCGGCCGCGGCGGCGCGGGACGCGAGGGAGGTGACGGGGATGCCCGACACCCCGAACATGTGCCGCGTGCCCGCCGCGGCCAGCGCGCGCCCCGCGAGCGCGCTGCCGTCGACCGTCGCGGCGGCCGTAGAGTCAGAGGCCATCCTTTGCTTGCTCTGATGCCGCTCTGGGGTGCGGTTCGGTGGTTGGTGAGTTGAGCTGGTGCGCTTCTTGACTTCTGGTGTTTGTTGCTTCGGTAGTGCGGTGCCCCGAGCAAGGAGTCTGCGATGGTTATAAGGGCGTGCGGTGGCACGAGCACGGAGGAAGGAGGCGTGCGGCGGGCCGGCGGCGGGGCAGATGACACCTGCGCGCGGACACCTGCGCGCGGGCACAGCCGAACACCTGCCCAAGCGACGGAATGGTCTTCGTTTTGGCTTTTGCTCGACGCACCGCACAGGCACAGGCACAGGCACAGGCGCAGGCGCAACGGGGCAGCGGGCACACCACGCCAGGGCCGGGTGCGCTTTTGTTTGAACACATGCTTCTTCAGTCAAAACGGCTCAACGTCTCAATTATTCACGGGTACGCTGTCTTTTTTTTTCACACCTATCACCGTTACTAATACAACCATTCAAATACGAGTTGAGCAGAGTACTTAAGATTTAATTTAATAATTAAAAATACTTAATGGAAATGTCATCAATACATTGAACGGTTAAAATGTGCTCGTACTACTATAGAACCATTAGATCAAGTGTTTAGAATTTGTGTGTAAATGCGGTATTTGAAATATTCCCTTTGGTCATCAACCTCAAAAATCTAGGAATCCAAACACTGTTATTATAATTCATAATCCAAATTACAATGATCCAGCTGCCCAAACAGTCCCTAAGTTCAATGGCATAGTACTAGGAATTTTGTCTAATTAATTTTGTAGTTGATCATCACATGAACACAATTATGCAACTTAAAATAGAAACAAACACAAGGTAGGCCAAGTATAGCATTGTGCAGGCTCCCATAAATCTCATCTTCATCTCCGCGAGGGAAGACACATGGTCCATCGTTGGCCTATTGCGCAAAGCGGCAGCCGCTGCAATAGCCGCCCTCTTCTTGCATCGGCGCCTCCACTTGCGAAGGCCTTCCTGTCGAGCTTGAGCGCCACCCCGAACACGCCAGGGGCAAAGGATCCAGAACCCGAGCGAGTTGGGCTTAGGCCGGAAGTGGAACAGGCCACGCTCAACGCGGCGTGCCTTGTACATCCCGAGGGCCTTGGTGATGGCGGCCATGTGCACCTTGATGGCGGGCAGGTGTTGCTTGTATGCGTCCCACTCGTATATTTCTGGGATTTTGGAGTATATGTTGTTGATGATCTGGAGTTTCATGCGGAGCAACAACTCGAGGCCCAACGGGGTGAGCCTCACCATGTCACTACCTCCGCGGTGAGTCCTTGTGCCAAACACATCGCGACGATAGAACCTAAACCTCTTGCGGATCTTGCGTCCTCTCATCGTCTTCCTGATGATGGTGTGCTGCGGACCTACAACAGGAATCCAATTATTAATTAATTAGTAGATTACCGACATAAATATATGATGTTGGATGTTGGTGAAAATGTTGGTGAAGGCATGAAATAGCTAGGTTTTGTTTTCTAATACGTTAAGAATGCTTGTGTTTTGGTCGACAAAACCCTAGATTTTATTATTAGCAAGAAGATCATGGAAATTATAACTAACATTTCGTAATTAATAAAGTTGTCATGAAGACTCTCCTGCAAAAGAACTGGACGAAGTACCTCAATAATTTCATTGGGACTATATTCTAACATAAATGTATAGACAAAAGAACAGCAACCACACACAAATATCACTTCCTTCATTCTATCTAAATTATAAATCACTTTAGTATTTTATCTTAAAAGCCCGTCTGGCAGCTCGAAGTGGTCCTAATTCTATGCTTCTAGCCTTGCGCAAAAAAAGAAGGCTTGTAGACACAGAAATATCCAAATGCGTAGCGAAACGTTTCGATCACTTTCATGGATTCTCCATTTTTGTGGCTAGCCATGTCGAACGACTCCTCCCTTCTAGGCTAGCGATCACTGTTTTTTTTAATACTTCTTGCTGCAGTGAACTAAAATGGATCATATTTGAGTTGTTCGTCAACCACAGAAAATTGAATCTTTAGCGAAGCATATTTATATTTCTACGTTTTTATTTAGGGAAAAATTGTGTGGACCAAAATCCAACCTCATGCCAAACGGTTGTAAAAAGCGATTCAGATTCACCATACAAAATTTTACAAAAAGAATCTAGATTTGAAATATTTTTATAATAATCTAGAACCCAACCAAACCCACTGTAAAGTAAAAAAAAATTCAACATTTAGCAATATTTTATATATATATATATATATTAGCATCTACAGCCTACAGGATTAAATAATTGCAAAATAAAGAAACATTTTATAGGATGAAACTAATTTAATATCATAGATATTGGTGTATTTTCTGATGCAAAGTTAGTTAGAATAAGAGATGTTTGGTTTATAACTAAGCTAAAGTTTGGAACCGAAAAGTTAGTAAAAAACAACGCTGGAAATTATCATGCAATGCACGTGAGCATGAGCATGTATATGTCCTACACAGATATTTTTTTTAGTTTTGTTTTTTGAGTATATTTTTGGTGTAATGACGCCAGCGAGGCATAAGCATTTCAAAATTGTTTATTGGAGTATAACGTCTATATATGTACTGTTTCTTCGTCGGAAAGAAAAAGAAAAGAGCAAGGTACACCGAAAACAAACTCGAGAGGAAGACAAATAGATAATGCAAACCTGAAGCTGGAGCAGGAGCAGCAGCACTTCTCCATCGGTACTTCGTGGCGTTGATGTGATATTCTATGATATACTCCATATCTGTTGATCGAATCCGAAAGAATAGTAATGTTTTATTTGCACAAGGCATGCGGAGTCCGGTCCGATCGGGGGTAGAACCGGACTCGAATACAACAGGGCTAAAGCGACAAACTGGCTGAGGCACAAGCAGGCCTCAAACTGCGCGAGTTCTTTTTCGGGACAAAAAAACTGATTGGGGGCTGGGGCCTGGGGGCTTGGCCGCTTGGGGCTCAAAGCCTTGCCAGCGCTGCTTCCTCCTCCTCCTGGCTGAGAGGTACGAGAAGGAAAGGCACGTGGGCCTTCACTTTTTATCTCTACATTTTAGTTTATTTTTAAGCAGTTATATACTTCTGCATATTATTAAGGGATATGGATCCCGTTTGGCTAAGATGTCAATTTTCTGCATGACATCGCTCAACAAAGGAGAATGGATAACAAGAAGAATATATCCCTCCATATCCCTGGCAATTTGCCACTGTCAGACTTGTGTGTAGCACCAGTGGTAGATTAAAATTCACCTATGGCCAAATCAAACACTATTAACCTGTCACCTGTCATGCTACAATAACACTTTCTTTTATTTACCTCGATGTACAACAGACTCACACTGTCATTACACCCCAAGCATCGTCAACAACTCTTAGGCGTGGGACTCTAGTTGGCCGTTGCGTTGGCCAACACAGAACACACATAGCAACGAGGGCATCATTTATTGTTGGCTCCCCACAGCATCGTGCTATCAATCATTAATCGGTGTGATTGTGAATGGAAGCTGCCTTCGGCAATTAGCCAATACCAAACTGTGACTAGACTCAAAAAAGGACACGACTAATGCAAGGCCGGCCATGCGATTAGCACGTGAAACGCACGCCTTCTTCCTCCTCGTCCGCTCACCCCCGCCTTCCTCGCCCGCCGCTCCCACCCAGCAGCTGTCTTGCCGCCGGCCGTGCCTCCCACCTCTCGACCCTACCCACCCTCATCGTCTTCCTCGCCCCTGCCGCTGCGCCCACCGCCTCGGTGACCTCCTCCTTCCCCTTCCCTCTCCCGCCGCCGTCATGGCCATGGGCGCCCCCGCCTCGACCTGACCCGACCGCCTCCTACGCCATCCTCCCGCCGTCCCCACCGCCTAGTCACCCTGCTTGCCCTGAGCCCCTTCTAAGCCCGTCCGGAGTTACGAAAAGGAGAGAGAGAGAGAGAGAGAGAGAGAGAGATGAGAAGATGACGTACCACCAGAACGATTTATTGATGGGGAGAGCGTGCGCGGTCACTGAGGCCGTCGAGGAGGCTACTACAACTGCCGGAGAGCGCCTACGCGGCAGCCGGGAGGTGGGAGGCCTGCGCAAGAGAGGGGAGAGGAGAAATGGATGGGGAATGAAAGGAGGAAGGCGATGGGGATAAAAACAGTGGGACCCATCACGTGCTACGCTGCGTGCAGTAGTGTGCGTGCCGAGTCGCATGAGCCCGTGCGGCCATAAAGAGGCTTTTGCCCATAAATAAAAAATGTGACTATTTTCCTTTTTTGTTTTAGAAGCAATTTTTAGAAACGTTTTAGAAGCACTGTGACTATTTTCCTGGTCACCTGAGCTATCTTTTTTTACCAAGAAACCAACGGCTTTGCTTGGTGGGCTGGGAATGCCAGCCCATTTTAGGCCCAGGAACACCACTGCCACAACAGTTAGCAGCCCATGAAGTGAGGTCCAACCGTCGAGGCATTATCTTGTTCATTCGTCTTGAACATGGAGCCAATTTCGGCAGCCGGCAGGCACTAGCGTCCGGTGAAGAAAAAGAAAAACAAAGTCTGTGTGGGGAGGGAAGGGATCCTCGCCAGCGGCGAGGTCTAGCGGCCGCCAGTCCGCCTCTGTGCAGCACCAAGTACTAGCCGCCACCTTCACCCCCACCCAGCAGCAGCAGGCCACCATGCATACTACACTGTCTGACCTCTGATAGCCTGATCCAAGCAGTGGTCTGCAGTCGTAGCTCTCCTCCCCCAGTGGGCGATTGGCAGTATCCCTTTCCAAGATTAAACCCTCGGCTCGCTACTAGCCGGAGCGAAGCCTTTTGCAGGGCACTTTACTTGACCACCCAACCCCAAAGGCCAAAGCCCCTTTGAAAGCAGCAGCTTGTGTCTGCATGGACGGACGGGCGGACCGGACGGATTCCTTCCTCCAAGATGCCCCTTTTCTTTTCTGTGTCCCTTTTCCCTTCCCCTCGTCGTCTTTGATACCCGTAAGCACCTTCCCTTGGCCTCGCCTTAAACCCCACTTTAAAGCCC